ATTTATTTTATTTTATTTTATTTTCTAATGGTGAGTGCCTCATGCTCTCTATTGCTTTGGCCAAATTTAGCTCTGAAAACACGGTAGGGCTGTTCCACAGGTAGCACAGTGGAATCTTGTGATCACTTTCTTTTTGTGCAGAACAGCTACTCCCGGAGTGGCAAATCGTAAATACTGGTTAATGTTAGGGCCACATGCTCAGCAACAACCTACTTGTGACATCAACCAAGTTTTTACTTTATACCAGTTTAGTGCTTAGTGCAATGAAGCTCTGGCTTTTAACATATGCTGCTACAATGCTACAGTTGTACCCTATCAAGCCAAATTAATCCCTCATAAAATACTGCAAACTTTAACTGGATTTTGTGCAGTCATAGGGTCTCTCTTAGATACAAATTGTGTAAGTGACAAAGTTACTCAGGAGCCCATTTCTCAGCTTCAAATAATGTGCTAGTGTAAGAGAGTGTATTGCATCTCCAGTGAGCCGTGAGGACATCACGGAGCATGCTGGATCTTCCAGTGATCATGAATTGATGGAGTTTCAATTAAATAGAAGGAAAGGAAATGTAGGTATGCAGTTCTGTTTCTTAATTTCAAAATGGCAAACTGTGCCAAATTTTATTTTAGAAAATAGCCTGAACTCAGGGATGTAAACATGAATATGCCTGTCACTTTGTCAAGTTAAAAAAAATCACTAAAAATACAGTGTATATATAAAAATTTATAAAAGTATAGTATATTCCAGATGAAAGTATCTTATTTGGTATTTCTTTACTGACTTAGTGCAAGAAGTGACATGTCTTGATGACATGAAGTTGAGACATACAATTAATGCAGGAATCAATTTGGATACCACAAAGGAAGACAAGGACACCTTAATGTTTAAGATTAACAGAAACGGGTTATAATTCAGTAAGCAACTGATGTGCAAGGCCATACGCTTTATAATTACTAACAGTTATCTCTGTTATCATCCAGGAATCTCCTTAGCTGGACTGGACAAGCAGAAGAAAGATGAAAATACTGACAAGGATGATTGTGAGCCACCAACCTAATATGCCTGTGAATACATGTGATTCTAGGAGACCGCAGACAAATTATTTCCAGCACCTGTGTCATTGTACAAAGTCCTCATAAGGCAGCATTTAAAAGCCTGCATATAATTATGTGTGGAAAGATTAGGAAAAAGACATTCACGTGGTATCGGATGGGGATATCTGAAATCCCAGGGGAAAGAGGAGCTGCCTTCTACGAGGCGACTCAGAGAGCTTGGCTAGACGGTCCTATATATCAAAATGGAGACAGGAACATGCTGGTAGTTTATGAAGTCACACCACTGAGTCCCGTGGAGGGTCACCATGTTGCTCAGGGGCTGGAGTACACAATATACAAGGAAAGGCTGAAAGAACTGGTTTTGTTCAGCCTGGAGGAAAGAAGGCTCAAGAGAGACGGTGTTGCTGCCTACAGCTACCTGATGGGAGGATATCAGAGAAGACAGAGCCTGACTCTTCTAAAGGGTGCACAGTGATACAATGAAAGGCAACAGATATTGTTGGAATGTGGAAAATTCTGATTAGACATAACGAATTTTTATTTTTTTAACCATAAGGTTCGTCAAATATTGGAACAAGTGTCCAGAAAGGTTGTGGGATTTCCATCCTTGGAGAGTGTCCAACACTCAGCTTGAAATGGCCCTGAGCAACCTGATCTGATTAGATCTGCTCTGAGCAGGGGCTGGACTAGATGAACTCCAGAGGTCCCTTGCAACCCAAATTATTCTATAGGTCTATGAAAAAACATTAAAAAGCAGAGGAAACCCCCCCACTAGTCAAACCTAAAAAACATTGCCACCAAAAAATAAAAAAAAAGACCATAGGTAGGGAGTAAAATGAGCAGGTTTATCATCAAAAAAGTTCTTAAACAGTAAGGACAAGAATCCACTTACCTTTGAAATAAAATTAGATAAATTTATGAAATGAAGTGGAATGAAAAGGACTGGACTAGCAACCCTGAAAATGCCACATGCCTATGATCTGTGTTGATGCTTAGTTGTGACAATCCTAAATCAGTTTTTGAAACTTAGTATTTCCAAATCGCTGATGACATTTTAACGTAAACTCACAAAGCAGTGAAGGAATATGTACCAATACAACAATTCAGCATATTTTTCCCCAGTATGAAATACTCAAAAACCACAGCAAGAATTTCATTGGTACTTGCAGCAAAAGAGCAGCACACACAGCCCCACTCCCAGGGCTGCCAGAACGAGAGCACTGAGTGTGAGCACCACACGGGACGGGCTGTCGTCACCCACCAACAACGTAATTCAGCCTGCAGCCTACCTCTGAGCTGCCTCGAGAGCGGGTCCACGTGCCAAGTGAATTGGTCTAGGAAACCAGATTTTTCTCCTACGGACAACAGATTAAGCTTCTCATACTGTGTTTCTGCAGAAGTCTCTCTGCAGTCAGAGGAAAAAACACATCTTGGTTTCACAGTGACGTGCATCACCCTATGCAAGAAAATAGTTCCTTGGCAAAAACTTAATTTTGTTGGTTTAGTCTTTCTAGTTCAGCAAAGAAAGCTTCACATGTGCTTCAGCTGAACGGGTAAGTATTCAGAACAGAGCAGTTTTACACTGTTTGCATGTGACATTATGAGAAACAGATGAAAATTACCTCCACCAGTTTGGAGAATGGTATTCTGCCCTTTCCACAAGGGCTGGTGCTGCTCAGTGACTGAAGTTTAACAGATGCTCTTGTGAAAGCCTATTTGCCAGGTGAAACTGAGAGCTTTTGCTTTGGCTGCCTCTCAAACGCAAGACTACAAAATGTTTTCCAGAAAAGTTCAGATGGGAGAGATTACTCACAAATTGCCTTTGTCATCACTCGGAGAAGAACTGTCTCTGGCTGGAATTATTTCAGAGATATTTATTGTATTCTGAAAACTTCATTTTATTTCTAACTTATTTACAGTTAAACATTCAGAATCATAAAATATGAAGTATAAAATATTTAACAAAATAGATGCAGTTCATGTTGTTCAGATGCACCATAGATATATGATGAAACAGTAAACAGCATAGGAATTTCCTGATGGTCCTCTCTCATTTACCAGGGGAGGGAGGGTGTAGACCTGCCCTATACATTCTGGTCTGACCAGTATGGCATCAACCTTTCATTCTGGAGAGAAAGACAACACTCTGACTTCTGTGTCCTCTGTCTTGCACAGTTACCTTCCCTATCTGAAATGCAGCACTGTAATGTTCAATACATCGGATACCCTCTGAAGTTTGTCTTTTCAATACTTTTTTTTTTTTTTTTTTTTTTATATAATTTTTTTTTTTTTTTTTTTTTTTTAATATAGAACTTCCTAGAAAAGAAGAATCAGGTAATTCAGGCCATATGAACAAAAGAGTCATTTATTATATATATATTCTCTAGTAAGTTATAATAGTCTCTTGGATTTTAAATGTCTTTTTGCTATTTTCAATGCTTAAAAATTATAATTTTAAAACATTAAATATTGTGTTATATACATTACGGTTTAATTTCTCATTTCTAAACATGGAGCATTCTCCAAGTGAAAACTTGGATGAAACAGAAAACAACTTCATTGACACAACAGGGTTTAAAAGTTCACTTCATACAACCATAGATTTGACTATATGAAAAATAGCCAAACATCAATTTGCTCCTATATGGGGTTTTTTCTGTTCATTTTTCTAGTCTTGGGGACAGGGTGTTTTTGGCTTCTGTTTTTGTATAAACGGAAGGACAGATCTGGTCATTACTTTTGTCAGTGTTCAGTATTTTAACTTTTTTTTCTTTTTAATCTCATACCTATTTTATATAAAATAACAAAATATACAGAGAAAGCTGAGTTTGTTACATTAGTTCATACACATACAGTAAATAAAAGTTTTTTATGTATGGCTTTGCAAAGGTAGATTATGAAGTGACTTTTGTATTTTATTTGTTTAAAAGCATTTTAAGAGAACGTGTTAGTGTGCTTACAATAGCGGCCATGGTAGTCGAATGTCGAGCCAAGAGTTTAATGCTAGGATCACTGGAGGTCTTGCCTGACACTGCTTCTGCAGCCTCCAGAAGACAAATGTAGTTTATTACAACCTCGTCTATCTTAGCTATAATTTCCTGCTGCTGTGTTTCAGAGTTCATGACTTTAACTAAACGCATGCAGGCTTCTGTTAAGCAACAGAGTACTTGAAAGCTGGAAGTCATAGCTAAAAGCATTTCCTCAGGGCTTTTATCAGCCATGGCCATTTTCCTGCAGGCACTTCCCAACTGTCTCGATTCCATAGATAACAGTTGTTTGTACTTAGAAAGTTTAAGGTCATATGTTTCTGGATGTAAATCTTCTCTCTTGCCCATACTTGCTCGGACCAGTGAGAGTAGCTCATTGGCATCCTTTTGTGCTGCAATAAATCCATCAGGCATTGCATACGTCTTCTCTTTCATCACATTTATTCGCGTGATTCGTGCATCAAAGGCCACATCGTTGAGATTCACATCAATTTGGCCACCTTGGATGTCAGCACTGCTCTTCTCATGTGCCTTGACTGCCTCATCTTGCAGGGGCTCAGCAGCTTTCGGGGACTCCAAGACTTTCTGCTCATTTTCACTGGAAAATGACTGACTGACTGGTTCTGCGACCTCATGTGGGAGCTGCGGTTCGAAGAGACACGAGAGCTGATGGCTGTCTCCATCATCATCATCATCATCATCGTCATCGTTTCCTCTGCTTAGGAAACAATAGCTAAAGGGGCCACGACACCTCCAGGCGCTGGTGTCCAGCTTCCGCAAGGGCAACGTTCGACACTGCTTGGAGTCCTTCTGGCTGGTGCCTGTGCCCGAACACCTCTTACTGTCCTTCCTATCAGTGCTGACGTACACACAACTCTGGGAATAACTTTTTGACAGCTTTTTGCCCAGGGGGAGTTCCACCTTTCTCTCTGATTTGGATTCATCCTTTCGGGTGATGTCCAGGCATTTCAAGCTGGCTGCGGCTGCCTTCTTTTCAAACAGCATCTCAATGCCTGCAGATCCTCCAATGATGCTGCTGCTGCGTCTCAGCACTTTCCTGTTGTGCGGCATCCTGAGGCTTCCTCCTATCATGTCATATGGCCGTAAACTAACTGTTGCCCCACAAGCCTGATTTACTTTGGGAATGTCACAAGAGTCTTCATTTTGACTTGGCACCTTTGATTCTGATAGCGTGGATGATAGCATGATGGAGTCAGCTAGAGGCTGTCTAGGAAAAGCTGTAGGCATGCCTCCTTGTCTTCCCTTTTCAGGCTCTGTGAAAGCTACACTAGGGGTAGTAGAAGAGCAGACAGAATAATTAAGAATCACCCTGATAATATTCAGAGACTGAACTTTTAAATATCTTTAACAGTCAGGACAAATGGATTCCTGTTATTTCCCAGGGGTCTCCATTCCTCAAAATATTTCACAAAAAATTCATTGCTACTTCCTCATGTCTTTTATATTTCAATCTATTGACAACTTATGAATAGTTAATTGTTCAGTCCACCACAGCAGACTCGTTTAAAAAAAGGAACAGAAAATCACCCACAAAACTTCCTAAATCTCCCCCAATAAATGGATTGGATATTTTCTATTGAATAATTAGATGACTATTTTCAGATTAAAATATCTTCTTTAACTGTACCTGAGAGGGTATGGAAAGCTGTATTCATGGTAATTTTGGTTTGGTTATGTGTTTTTTGGCAGAGAACAACATTTCCCATTCTTGCTCCTAGTCTGTTCCACTTTCAGATTTTCATGCATTCACACACTACTGCTACATGTGGGTTGCAACCCAGAAAGAGGGAAACATTTAAAACCCAACTGAAAGCATTTCCAATGCTATCTCTGAAAAACTGCTTTTTTAATAACAGTAAGTTCATAAAATCTCTTGAAATTGGAACTTAAAAATGCAGTGATGCTTCTGTATGTAAATTATTCTTTAAGGAAACACCTACTGTCAGATGGCAAAGTAAATACATGCTTAATAAGATAGTGACAATTTCTCATCCTTACATTTAGAGCTTTTTATTCATTCTGGCATGTTTTTGACAATCTGCTAAAATAGCATGTAAGACACATAATAAATGAATCACAGTTTTCCCTCTCCTACATTAATATACCTTGTGAAGTCATCTCATAATCTAACAAGTATCCTGGAACTGAAGTGACTATGGATTTTGGAGAGACTTCCAAAGAATGGAAGATAGGCCTCTCCATTAATGTTCCCCCAAATATTTTTAACTGTAATGAAAGGGTTTTTTTTTAAAAAAAAAATCTTTGCAAGCAGCTTTTTTTTTTAAAAAAAAGATCTCTGCAAGCAGAGATCTTATGAGAACATCTCAACATGTACAAGTAAATTGAATAGATACACTGAAGGTCTAATCCCACTGTCTGCTACAGCTTGACGATGTAATTTCAGGTAAAGATAATGCAAGCATCACGCCTAGTCCTCAACCTTAACATGTAGCTTTAAAAACAAACATAAGAAACACTTCATTACTGCTGTACCTGTAGTTTCTTTTATCTTGGGGATCCGATGACATCCTTCTCTCAAAGTGCCGAACAGCGGCTCAGCACTAATTGCTGAATGCACGACAGGCACCGTCATTCTGTGACACACGGCTTCAGGCTGCTGGTGCAGCTCCTTGTATGTCGTTCCATGGTTTGGAAGAATGGCAGCTCTTTCATCTGCTGGAATATAGGCGATGCCCTTCATTGATGGGTCAGAGATAATGTGCTTAACATCAGAGGTACAAAGAGGAGATTCAACGGGGGTAGCACACGTGCTACTGCCTGTGCTGCATCCTGCATCCACTGAAGAGCACTGAGAGCTTTGCAGTGAGAAATGGCCTTCACTTTGCAGAGATGACATGCGCTTAGCCAAGTGATATTCACAAAGTCTAGCCACGCTCTGCTCAGCTTCTGGAAGCTTTGAAGGATGGTCATCTGCAGATAAATCGGTATCTTCTGCGTCATTGAGGTCTTTGGCTGAAGACACGGGAGTCATATCTGACAGAAAGTTTTCACCTTGGCTAAGCCCCGAGGTATCCTCCGGATCCACCTCCGGATCCACTTCATCCTTACAGTCAGTTTCTGTTTTACCAAGGACAGGAACCCTTGGAAAAGTCTTCCCGTTCACTGTTTCTGGGCTTGGCTTATCTGCTGCCCCATCATCGGCAGCGTACCATCTTTGGCGAAAGGCAGTTCTCTCCACGTTAAAAGTGCTTAGGCGTTGACTGTCTCTTGCTGAAAGAGTTCCAAATTTAGCTTTTAGATCTTCATCAGACTCTGCTTTTTTAGTTCCCTGTTGCTTTCTCACAGTAGCATTGCCATCAGAGGGTGCTTTTACTTCGCTGTCTGTCATCTTACTTTTCCTTTTACTAGTGCAAGAATATACCAAGGATCCCATGTGCAATTTGCTAAAATAATCAGTAACAGATTTTGTTTCCATGGTCTCTGGCTCCATTTCCATGTTATCTGAATGAAGAATCTGCTTTGAAGGCACAACTTTTGACTGCAGCTCTGCAGCCTGACGACCAGCCAAAGGCTGTGAGGGCTTCATGCCTGGCCCTCCAGCCTGATTCTTAGCGATGGGAAATTCAGTCTGCTCTTCCACAAGGGGTTGGTAGCCTTCACTTGTGGTCAAAAACATACGTGCAGTGTTTTCTGACTGTTTCTGTGCTGCGGCTAATTCAGAGCTTTCAGTCATTTCAGAGGAATTTGTTTCATTGCCAGAATCTGAAGATGACTCAGGGCTATATGCTCGCAGGATAGCTACACCTGCAAGCCACAAAAAATAAGAGTCGATTAAATGACAGCAGCTGAAGCACCTGGATAAGTGACAAGCAAAGGGGTGTGTTAGAGACAAAAATATGCTTGGTAAGAGTACTCTGACTTTATTGCACAGTTCCCAGGACAGGCAGTTTAATAACATAATGGTAGTTCCATTAAATAATATGGAATATGATGGACGCAAAATGATGGCAAAAGAAAAAAAAAGGAAAACCAAAAAAAACCCCAACCCTCATGAAATGGAGTATTTCCAAAGCTAAATGGATGAGATGGAATGATTTTCAATGAATAAATGTAACTATGGTGAAAGAACCTGAATTGTCATTCGTCTGCTGTTCCTCTGAAGCAGCCAAAGCTTCTAGTGCTTGAAGTGTAGAGACTACAGCATCATCTAGCCCCTTCTCACACTTCCCCTCTGTATTAGTAGGGACAGCATCAATAAGTGACACTGGAATGTCATCATTGCCTAGGTTACTGGCTTGCTCCTTGCTGTCTCTAGGCTGCGTTGCTTGATTCTGAGAGTCTTCCTCATCTGAACTGTCCCTGAAGCCAGGTGGAGGAGCAGCAATGGCCATGTTTAAGGTATGCAACAGGAAATCATCTTCATTATCATCACCTTCTGGAGGTGGAAGTGAAGTCAAATCAATAATGTCATCACTAGAACCAGAAAGGCTGAGAAGAGCAGGCCTATTGATTTCTCCTACCATAATGTCTTCTTCACAGCTTACTTCATCTTCGTCTTCAGCATCATCTGTATTTTCTGCATAACAAATATCATGCAGCAAAGGCTCTTCTATCCCTTCCGCAGCTCCAAATATTTTACCATCGTTTATAGTTGCGTAAACAGAATTTGTAGCAAATTGAATGCTTTCAGCATCTGGTGACAACTCCAGGCCTTTAATGTCATTGGCATTACTAATATAAATGGCTCTTTGTTTTTCTAGTACTTCTGGACTTTCATCCAAAAGCCTTTCGTAGCCAAGAGTCTGGGGATTGATACCATCCAAGTTGTGATCTCCAAATATAAAGGAAACTTTTGCTCCCCTGGGGGAATTCTGTGCTTTCTTGCTAGATTCCAAACCTGAGAGTGACAGCAGCGAAGGCTGATTAAAATTTCTGCTTTCTTCTGCTTCAGTGGGGTCACTTTGCTTGGCCAGATGCTGATCAAATCCACCTGAATTATAAGTGTTTTCTATGTACAGATGTCTGTGTTCTTTTTGACATAACAGACTTTCAGAAACATCTACAGTCTTCTGTTTTGGATCAGCAAAGGACATTTGAGTCTCTTGATCTCCTTCAGCCAGGAAAGTGGTAGTTTTTGGTATGCAATTCCACTCAGAAGCAAGGAGGTTATGCTTCCCTCGGTTTTCAGTTCCTATAGCACGGTGAAATAAAATCAACATTGTGAAATCAAAGAGCAAAGTCATGTAATTTTTAAACAATAACTTGTTAATGCTGAGCAATAAACACTCTGAATAGGACAGCTAGGCCATCAAACACTTTGGAAAAGCACTTTCAAACTCACCTCTGCTCTAAGTTAAATACCTGTTGATTCAATGACCTAAAGTTTAACTTGTACTTTTGTACTTTAGTACAAAACTAAACCTCAGCTAGGTACAAATGATGTTCCAGGAATAGTAACACAAAACCAAATCCCCAGCTGGTTTCTCCAACACCGTATGTATTCTTACAAAAAAATATATATATAAAAAATATAACACTCACAGGAAGTGTGCATCTGTTTCACTACAGTATGAAAGGCATTCATCACCTGCTTTGTTTTACGATTAAGATGCTATCGTAGGCTGCATATTAGAACATTATAAAGTTGAACTGATATACTGTGGTGCTAGGTCTGAGCCAGCAATCAGATCTCATTTGGCATAGCCCTGTATTTATCTGGAGGTGCACTGGCTTAAGCTGGCTTCTGCTTTATACATTGGACCATCATTAACGTACTGTGCAACGAATACCTGTTTCTCGGCTCCCTGTATTTTTCTTGTTGGCCATGTTAAATATTGAGCGCCTTGAGTCAACCAGCAGTCTATAGTATCCAGCTGTGAGGCAAGCAAGATTCATTGCATCTGATGACTCCATCAGGAGAGTAATAGGCTAAGAAGAATACAACCAAGTGTTGGTTAAGGCTGTTCCTCCTCAGTCTGTTTACCTGCTGACAATACTACTCCATGGAAGCAAAAGGAATTACATCACAAACACCACATTGAAAAATACACACGAGATCTTGTTTTCCTCACTACCAGTATCAAACAGTATCAAAAATTTAGAAGACTGGAGTTGCAGTAACATAGAAGTTTAACTGGACATTTTAACAGCTGATTTTGTTCTCCTCCTAAACAAAGGTAGCCATTTCAAGACTCTTGCTCCATCTTTTTTCTTGCACAGATATAATATTCTTGCCAAAACACTCTTTACTGTTACTCTGAAACTGCCAGGGGCTAAGAACCTGGTACCTTAGGTGCTGGCGTCTTGCAGTAGTATGGGAATCTGCAGCTTCTCAGAAAATGAGGTGCCCTAAGCACATGTAAAGAAGTAAAACATGGGAACTCAGGGAAAGTTCAGGTTCAGAAAATACAGTAGTGAGGTTAAAACTACCTTTACACAGCAGTTACAGTGAATATTACAACGACAGTTTAAAAGATTTCAGTGTTTGTGGCCTGGCATTACTGAAAATACAAGTGATGAAAAAATAAGCAGAGAAACAGAGACAAAGAGAATGGAGAAAGATCCTGAAAAGGGAGATCTGCAAAGAAAACAAACTCGAAGCCTTTAGAAAAAAAAAGTCAGACCTAACAGAAAAATGAAAGACCTCGGAGCTTTGAAAAACTATGGATGCCAGGCTAGCGAGCATTGAACCTGAGACATCCGTGTGAAACATACTTTCTTTAATTGCCTTTTCTTTTGGCACAATGTATAAATTTCTTTGCCTAAAACTTTTGTTCATGTCTCTGTAGCTTTTAACACCAAAATCTGCTCTTCTAAAATTTATTTTAAGGTGGCTAGCCTCTACAACTCCTAGAGAAGAAAGAAAAATGAAGCCCTTACCATGAGACATAGATAGAAATTACACTGTAGACAACCCATCTTATCACACAGTATGTAGTGACTCATAGCTGTGTGGACTTTTGTGACAATTTATCATAGTTTAGCATGCAGAGCCCACTGTGACAAGCATCATTTGTTCCAGGAGCAACATCACATGCAACAAGGATGGCTCTCCAACTTACTCAACCCCTTACTAGTTAAAAGACAACTGATTCTGATGGAGGCTGTGGCCAAAACATAACTGATGATCATAGCTTATTACCAAACCCACAATAAGTCTGGTAATTTTCTAAATGCCTGTGCTGCAGCACCTTAGGCCAAAATAGCCCAGGTGCCCTGAATGTTATATGAACAATTTTCAGCAACATGGAAAAAAAAATTACGCTTTTTCTTTTCTTTAAAGTATTTTGTGCTACAGTTTGAGGTTCTATTCAATACATGCTTCTTTCAAAACATTCAACTAAAGCTACAAAAGTTAACTAAGTTATTAAACCTACAATGGGCTAATTAATCTCTGTTCTTTCAAGTGACTACTAAAAACTAACATTTGAAATGCTATGTTGATCTCAAATTTTCTGCAGTGATTGACAGAAATGGATGATCTCCACAGAAATCTCAGACTGCTGAAAACAGTGCTGTGAACTACTGTTAATCTGCTGAACAGTCCTGTGACAGCTAAGCTTTCATTGCCTGCTTCTGCCAAGTGATACATGCTTGAGAAGACATTAAAAGGAAGCAAAAATAAAATAAAAATCCAAACCCTTTATTCATTTATTCATTAAGAAAATATTGGCATATATGACATATATTGGCTTATTCAGAATCTGGATATATGATCCTGCTACCTTAGGGCAAGCCAAGGGGTGAAAACATCAGTTGAGAATAACCACCTATGTGTGCCCCCATCTCTTAAACAGGACACAGTGACAACCCCTACTTGTGCCCCACAGAGAGGCAATTTTTTTGTCAAATTCCACACAGAGCCTCCCAGATTCGTAATTTTAATGTTAGGCCAGTCTATCTGGTTTTAAGATTGCATGTGTCAAAATGTAGGGAGATGGGGATATACGCGGTTTGCAATAATACAGTAACAGCATTATAATATAAAACCCCCACAACATTATGGTAATATAATACTATGACATACAGTGCTGCATTTTACATAGGAGCAGATGGGAAGGATTTCATTTCTGTATTACTTTCTCCATCTGTAAAAAGGGGTAACAGCTTTCTCACAAGAGGGCTACGAGTTTAGCACGGTAATGCAGGTAAAGTAGCCCGAGATCCTCAGATGTTATCACTCCTGAGTAAGGTGAAAGAGATGTTGTGTTCACCAACCTTTACATTTCTCTTAAGCTGCTGTCAAAGAGCATCTAGATTAATTTACAGCAATGTTTTTTTCATGAACTTAAATACAGGGAAACAGTTCCAGGTCAATAAACCTAAATCCTTCAAAGCAAAAGCTTAGTAAAATATTCCTTGTGTATGTTTTTGTGTATAGCTGGGTAAGCAAAAAGAACTGTTAGGCTCTATTTATTTTCATAGAATACTTAAGTTTCAAGTATAATGAGAACTCTTCCTTCAACCTCTGATTATCCTGATTAATGCTCTAGACAGTCTATGAAGCCTTTCACTTCAAAACCAAATAGAAAACACAAAGAACTAGGACAATATAATACACAAAACTCCACTCATAGCCACTAGATGCCACAGACAGAGTGTTAAGCGGGATTCAAGAGAAATTAAATTACTATAGGTAGATGAAGACTATCTATGAATATATTATATAGGGTAAAACACTTAACTGTAATTATTAGTGCTAAGAAAAGAACCTGGCCTTTTTACAGTTTATTTCATTGGTAACCGCTATGCGGTTACTTGCAGTGAACTTTGCAGATAAAACACTGGATTACAGGGGACACTGCTCTGATGCAGCTGGTGATTCTCTTGTCTGTTAAACTAGTAGGAGCTTCTAGGGGCTCAAGGAGCTTCAAACAAAGGCCAATTTCATCATCACCTCTTCTCACCATGGAAATCAAGGAAGACAAGAACAAAGTGAGTTGCCTGCGGTCAGCCAAGAGAAAAATCAGAGTAGAATACAAGTGCTGCAAAGCACCAGTCTGGTACACCGTAGGCCCCTCAAATGCCCAAGCCATACTCTACATACACTCTGACCACAAAAAAGCTAAAAACGCACCCTCAGAATATTACTGGTGTGAAAATATTCAGAACAGTTTAGCTTGATCAAATACTCAAATACAAGCAAAAATGTTATTTAAAGATATCAGTATAAATCAACAACAAACTTACTTTTACATCCAAGACATGCAGCTCAACTCTAACACTGCTTTCGTCTTCTGTAAACATCTCAATCCTGTTCACGTGGCTGAAGTCTGCCAGGAGAGCCACCAGGTTTGTTTTGGTGTTTATCACATGACTGATTCCGTACCGTGGCCCTACTAACAGTGTCACTTCTGAACGCTTTTCTCCCTGCTTTAGCAGAAAAAGAAAAAAAAGCAAAAGTAAAAAACATGACAGGAACTGCATAGTGACAGAAATTGCCGTTGCCTTCTTTCATTTTCATGGAGCTACGTTTGCATGGCATTTCTACATTGAAGATCATTATGTTTTACTAAGAAGATATGATATGGAAGAGCATACTTAATTTGCAACTAAAACCAAAAAGTAAAGAAATCTGCTCCTGGATATTGACTGTCTGTAGTTTTTAAATGGATAGTAGGATGGACAGACAGATGGATGGATGGAATTAGCTTCTATTAAAAGAAAATCTTTGTCATCAGTAGTTTTCCAGACTAATAATATTAGTAATCTAGTATTAGGACAGGCTTCCCTTCATGCAGAGGGAGGGAAGACCCCTGAAGGAAATCAGTTCCTGGGTTAGTACCTACAAGTGAGACAGAATGTGACAATTGGATGGTGCTATTTGCCAAAAGGGTGCTAAACTATCTCTAAATCCTCAGTAAAAATTCAAATTATAACAGGACTGTGATTTTCAAGATTAAAAGAAAAAAAAGTGATTTGGTTCAATTTAACAATTATTTTTTAAGTGTACGAATAGAACCTAAAACTCTAAAGAAAATTATATGGTCTAGCTTTTGCAAAAAGATATTTAGATAAAAAATCAAGAGAAGAGAGAGACTATTTCAAGAGAAATATTACCACTAAAGTTGCCTTGAAAACACGCCCTCCATATAATCGTAGATCGCTGAGGAACTTTAGGTAATGCACCTTGGCTTGCAGAGCAGATAGCTGAGGAAGGAGAAACAGGGGTAAGAGATAGTGGTGGAAATCATCACATTACCAAATTCAGAAAGAAAATATGTTTGTGTAGTCTAAGGAGAATGGACTGCAATAACAGTTCTTCAGAACCTGAAACTAAATCATTAGATGCTTGACTTCCAGATGAGGAGAAACAGTTTCATTCGTAAAATTAAGATCTTGCTTGTTTAGTTAAAATACACTGAGGACTTGGGTATGGGCAGATCAGAGCACTGCAAGAGCATCGTAACTGCTCCAATGAAGGAAAAATGTTAAACTACTCAAATTAAACATCTGTTTATTGAGGGATTTCAAGGCTAGACAGCAGCTTTCCATTCATAATCACCATCAGTTCTTAAGCATTTATGTACCTATACAGAGAAAGAGAACAAAGACTTTGCTTTTGTCAGCTCTCTGTATTACATTTTGCTAGGTACTTGTGGCATATGGCATATTATTCCACCTCATTACTGCATTTCTCTTTTTTTTTTTAAATAAAATTCTTCCACTGTATTTAGTAGGGAATAGATCTGAAAGCCAAACACAGTACACCAACACATAGGATCATATCATGCAATACATGTCATAATTTATCTCCTTTTTCTACTCTGAGTTTAAACTATCTACATAAAAAGAAATAACTTGGAAATATTTTATGAGACTGAATGGAAACAAGAAACAGTTCATTTCACCCAAACAGTCTGGACCCAAACCTTATACCTCCCTGGTGTAAATTCTTGTATCTGGACTTTTAAAAGAGAAGATCAAACAAGCTCATCTCATTTGCTATTCTCTTTTTGGCCACTAGATTTCTAATTCAAAATCATATTTGATCTTGAACAGCATTTTAAAAGCACCTATCCTAAGGTTTTTCTAGACACCAAGGAGAAAATCAATATCTGGAGCAGAGGAACTAGTGGGAATGCTTTCCCCTTTCCTTCATCAGGTGTTCAGTTGGTGGAGAAATACACAGGGGTTGTAAAAAACCCAAGAGAATCCTGAGAATGACAGGCTTCCCTTCATGCAGAGGGAGGGAAGACTCCTGAAGGAAATCGGTTCCTGGGTTAGTACCTACAAGTGAGACAGAATGTGACAACGTCCTCAGATGCTTTATTTCTGAGACCTACCTGGTCAAAAAAGCAGGTGGGCACACAAGGTATTTCCAAAGCTCAAATTAGAAAAGAATTAAGCAAAACCAATAAAGCCTGCTTGCTGCAGGAAGGGACTGTTGCAATCTCTCTTCAAACCAAGAACTAACACCGTACGCCACTGTCATCACCTGCAATGCCTGCAGCAGCGATGGTTTCCACAATAAACCCCAACTTACACTACGAGGATAAACAATAAGTAATTGGCATTATTCAGCTTTAGCCTCAGCAATACAGGAGACGTGCAGTGCTTCAGTGAAAAAGGTGGCCTTTCTTCCTGAGCATCCCAGGCCGCACACATAGAGCTACATTCACAGTCATGATGTGATCTGAAACCTCCAAGCAGGATTTCTGCTGATCACAATGAACCTTAGCTCAGGCACCAGGTGTTTTGGGGTTCTTTTGTTCAGAAACAAGGTGTCACGGAGCAGGATTCAACTCATTTTATGTCTCAGCTAGTCACTCTTAGGTTCTTTTTATAGTCCATGGAGAGAAATAGGCATTTCTAGGACACAAGTCATCTGACCTATTTTTGGTTCTTAATGTGGGAGGGGATGAATCGCTCCCTAGAAGTGCCTGTTTCTCTCCATTGACTACAAAGAGAGACTAGATGACTTGCATAAAGAAACCTCATTATGGTGTCTAAAACCAGCCTCAGCTGTATGCCTGTAACAAAGGCATTTCTCAGAGACATTGTCTTCTATGTGTTTTTTTCCATCTGAAGTGAAAGCTTAGTGCTAAGAAAAGCATTTTACAACAGCAAGGAGGGTCAGCTACTGTAAGGAGCATCATCTATCCAGGTAGATCTTGGCCAGCAAAAAGTCTCTATCTACAGCATAATGGAAAACAATCCTGAAAACCAGCATAGGTTAATGGAGTTTGGATGAGAGATTCAGAGAGAGAACGATAACTTTCCTAACAAGTCTGCAATTAATAGGAAGTACTAAATGCATTAAAAAAATATATATCTTTATCATACACGAAGTATTAATAACCAGTTTTCTGGCATTGTCAAGATAAGAAGATAGTTTAGTTGGGAGTATAATTAATTATTTTTAATTGTTCTTGGCTATGTTGTACCAAGCACCAAAAGTTAAATCTCTGAAAATATAATGGCTAGGTGTTTCTCTGAAGGATTAATTTTAAATGTTTCCCATGCACACCACCCTTTTTGTTCTTTAAAACATATTTTCCATTAAGATGCAAATGTAATACCTTTTTACCCGGAGGAACTAGGTTTTGATTTGCTTTGACAAGGTGTGAAAGTGCTTTCTTTATGTTCTTTTCTTTCATGCTTTGCAGCACAGCAGATGGAAGAAAAGTCTCTAATCCCCATTCTTTTCTGCAATAAAAGGCATATATTTAATTTCACATTCCTGTGATGATTATTTATCTAAAGACTGGTGACTATGATGCCAAGTGAATGAATACCTGAAAACAGAAGGAAAATTGATCAAGTCCAGAGTTTTGCAGTAACACATTATTTTCTAGATTCAAATTATGTATTACTTATGAAAAATATGCTTTAAAATTATATATAATCTCTCTTCTATGCCTTCCATCTCTTCCATTGTGTCATACAGAAAAGAAGTTTTAACTTTTTATGTTTAAAGCCTATGCTGTATTGTTAAATGCCACTTAATTACATAGGCAAGTACCATTATAGAATTAAAATCACAGAAGATTTAACAACATAATGTCAGATTTAATTTTATTTTCTAGGCTTTTTTTTTTGAACATGCAAACCAGCCAGCCATTGTCTTTGTCACTTGTATTTTGTGGGGGTTTTTCCCCCTCAAAAATGACCAGTCCCCCTCCTTTTACTCAATTTGCTTTTCTGCTTGAAGCACCTCTTTTGATAGAAGACTGACTCTTCACTTGTAAGTAATTATTTCTGCTGATTCATTAATAGGAAACAATATAATATGATCTTCAGTGAGGTGGATAAACTCTACAAGATTGAGTGTGCAACAGTTATTATTTCTGTTCTGCAAGTAAACTAAGCAACAGCAACAAAAATTTGGGGTTTTGGGTTTGTTTCTTAATCCAAGCAGATGTACACACAGTTGCATTTTGGAAATTCTCTTTTTCAATTTTCAATTTTTTCAAATACATGTTGTCTACCATAAAACAGGTGCCTACTGGGATACATCTGTATCTAAGAAATCTTACAAATGGAATCTAAGACCCTGCAGTCTTCTGAACCAAGAAATCACCTGAATATTACTATAATAATCTCTACTAAAACCTTAGGATTCAGACCATATAAACTTAGATCTGACCATTACATCATTGAATGCAAATGAGTTAATCTTATTTACATTTATAGGTTATTTCATGTGCCTAAAAAGATGACCAAAAGGTAAATGGACCAAAAGGTCCACTCTTACAGCTCTTAACACACCTGAATCAATTTCAGTGACAAAGAATGAACCTAAAATTGGTGCATACACATAGACATATTTAAGAAACAACCTTAAAGTATCTAGAAGTTACTCCTAATGTTTCACTTTTACAGAACACACTGCATTCTCAACTTACTCTATATATTTGAGGGAGATTTTCTGAGTTTGCTTGGTGGTCACAGTTGCTATATACATTTGTAATGCAGCCAACCGCAGGGCAATGTCATATTTCAGTTCCGGTCCAAATCTTTCCTGAACCACGTCGTTACAGCTCTGCCAAAGAACCAGTAGAGGGAGCATCAAGTTCAAAAATCTCGCACTAAAAATAAATTACAGTCCTTTTTTTTAAAAAAAAAATAAAAAATTAACATTGCACGAAGAGTAACTCCAAACCCAGAAGCAGGACTGTGCTGAAAGTAGGACTGTTGCTCTCAGAGGTGTCAGATACTCACGAGGGTATGGGTACTTCTGAAGAACACAAGGACTTCTGCCAAAGAGCAGAAGGCATGAGCATTTTGATCTAAGCTCTCTTCATCCTTCCTGGAGAGAACAGTAATACTCTTTCACAGAGAGTGCTGGGAGGGTATCAGTGTATCTGGAGTCAGAATAGCAAGATACTACCTGGTGAGATATCCAGGAGAACCACATTGCTTGTACATCAGCTTTCTCATCAACTTTACAGGAAGTTCCTTTTCAGACATCATTTTTGTCTGGTATTACAGTACCAGAAATGAGTATTAGCAATTAGTTCAACTTCACTCTTTTCTAAAGCCAAATATATTTTGGAAAGATATCAAAGCATTACTATTTGGAGAGACTTATGAAGGAAGGGGACTTTGCAAAAGATAACTATTTGCACATTCACCAAGTGCATTCATTGGCTTTATGCAGCAGCAATAAACCCCAGGATTTACTGCAGCCGCACTTTTCTATGTGAAGATATAAATTTAGATATACACTGAGTGCATCTATCCTTTTAATCTCCTTTACACTAACAATGGCCATGCTTTCACTTACCTGTACATAGAGATATTCAAAAGCAACTGGATCTCTTCTTAAAAGATCAATGGGATCCTTCGGGACAAAGCTAATCCTGAAAAGACATCTCATCTTATGCGAGCTTGGCCTCTGGGTCACCTAGGACAGTGCAATAATCATATCAGAGCTTGGCAACCCTGGTCGTGCAACATGGTCTGTAGTCTCAGGCACCATGACCCTGCTCCAGAGCCATGTGATAGCAAGAAAAATAATTCTAACAAAGAGGTTTGTCACAGGCTCCTTATTAAGTTATTCACATAAGAACATCATCTATATATATAATCTTGTGGAAAGACTTTTAGACTCATACAGGCATGAACTGCCCAACAGAACTCAACCTCAAAGCAACAGAATTCACTCATTCAAAACCAGAGTGAAAGCACAGAAAAAACACACCTTAACGAAAACCATCCAAGTGAAATACAAACTGAGTTGTGCAGGACCAAAATATTCAAAAATGAGAAGGGCTAGAAGGTTTTTGGGGAGAGGTCACATTTTATTTCTTTGACTGAGAACACAGGTAAAGTACAGCTTAGCAGCTATTATTCTCACTTTTTCTTGCTTGTTTTAATCCACTAGACGATTTGCAAGAAATTGGGTCTTCTGAATTTTCTTGGGCTGTTCTGGGTTAAGAGACCTACCTCTAGACTTCCAACTGACACAAATCTCTCCCGATACATTAAAAAATGAAAAAAGATCTCTTTGCTTGTTGGTCAGCAGAGCTTTGTGAAGCATGTAGCACTGTCATCTGGGTATATTCACCACCGCATAGCTAATGAATAATTGGATGAAAGGGTAACAATCCAATAACACCATTGTAAGCCATGGTCCGCAGCAACATTATAATGGCAAATTAAAGTATTGCTGATTTTACAGGAACTTCAAAGAAGAAACCCTGAGAATTAATGAAGTTTATGTAGTTTATTTAATTAGGCTAATGCAGTTAGAGAGTTAGTATACTTTATAATCAACATCTTTAATTGATAAAACTATACTTTTAAAAATTTCCAATGAAGTCTCTGTCTTGCCCTAACAATTTTCAAAACATATGTTTATCTCACATTGTCTATGACCTCATTCCTAAATATCTAGGTATACTTTGTAGGTATAAATAAAAGCTCCAGATGGGATTTTCGAAAGCTCACTGTGTTGGTTTATTCTGATCCTTCTGATTTCAATGGGAATTTTACTAATTACTTCAGAGAGAGACAGCTAAGCCAGGAGACCCAGTATTGAGTACTTCTGGATATGGTGCCTTCATTGGGTAGCTTATAGCCACAAGAAAAGAGTGTTAACATGGCAAAGTCAAGTGGTAAAGGTTAGAAAATGCTAGAAAGACTGTCAGCTGGTAAACTAAGCTCCTTCATACCATTACACAGACTCTAGTTATATAAGCAAGGGAATTCTGGCATTTATAAATATTTTTTCCCCATCTCATCTAAGAATCCATTTCTCTTTTTTTTTTTTTTTTGCAAATTTAGCTGAGATTTAAAAAATACTAATGTTCTTCTGAATCACAGAAATATCATGGAAAATTTCAGGCTAGACAGTTTGGCAAAATGATAAGCAGCAAAAATCAGGGTCCTCTGCTGGGAACTGTGAAGCAACTTTATCTCTAGTCACACCTCCCTGATCTAAGGAAGAAAGTCACACCAGCATTTTCTGGGTCACAATTCATCATCACTGAAGTGACATAATGTATCGCTGCGTAAACAAGCCAAACTTGGCTTCATCATAAAGAGTATTATTTCCTGTCACCCAGATACAGATCTGTATAATCAGATAGGAACCAAAGATCAAAATAAGGTTTTTAAAGGAATTCGGGCAGACTGTGGTTATCAGAGTTGTTACCATCAATTTTCCGGCTGTTGAGAACATTCACTAGCTGGGCTGCATACAATATGAAAAAAGCTTTGATAAATATTATCTAGCTTTCAGTCCGATTTTTAATGAAGTTTTTAATACTTTTTAATGGGCCAATGAAGCAATGAAATGTGATGCTTATATAATAGAAAAATAATTGTTTTCTGTAAGAACTTGATTCTTACAACCACATCTAAATACGGCTGCTATTTGATAGACTGTATCGAACTATAAATCTTGCAGTTAACTCACCTGAGTAATTAAAAAGATGGATAATTTACTGATTAAGCAGTCTCATTAATATCTGTTTTCACATATCATTACACAAACCTGAGTTAGAGTCTCCTGTTCATGTAGCAAAAGCAGTTTCGTTCCAGATCCTTCAACCCTCTGCTCCAGCATCAGGGAAAAGTGTTCAATACACTTGATGGAAAGCTTTTCTTGGAGTGTTAAGATGACATCCTAATTAACAAAGGATTTATAAAATGTGCTTAAATTCATGAAGTGCTTGGGACTCGGTTCTTCACTGCCACACACCCTGCGTGTACCCAGCACAGGGTGGAAGCCCAGATGTTGAACAGGAGGATGGTTGTGTTTCGTGCCTGTTCTGCACGAGTATACTGGACATCACACACATTCACCCCACAAAAAATCAGCACCTTTATATTCAAACATCTCTGAGATGGCATTCAGACATGCATGTGAAAAACATATGCATGGAATTGCTGTGAACGGACAACTTTCTGTGCAGTTTAACACGCAAATTATACTTGCGTGGCCCTTAAATCATATCTATCATCTCCCTGGAAATAAAACCTCTCCATCAGCAAAGGAGTGATGGTCTTGCTGCTCTTCTCTTCACTTACTGAGGGAGCAGGGCCACCAACCAGTACAAACCAAATTTAAAAGTTCAACAAAAAAAAATTTAATTAATGGCCTTTATTTGTTCTTATGGCAAGGGGTTTTTTTTTAAGTCCACTTCTTGATACTTGTGTTTAATGGACATTCTTGAGTTTTAAATGCTGACAGAATGCTGACAGAAAAGTCAACAATGACGTGCAGAAAAATAGCTCTAAATTCAGTGACCATGTCAATTTACAGTATAAACCCCATTTTTAGACACTTTTAATTAGGGTTTTTTCACATTGGATTATGTCTAAGGGTAATTAATTTGAGAACAATTGTTTCTAAAATAACAGCTAAACAAACCTCCTCGCAAAACCATTCAACCAATCCCTACTTTACTTTCATATAATCCTTTGTATTAATATTGTCTGGCAAGGTATCTTTTGCTTTAGTGAATGTAGCAGGAAAAAGAAATATATAATAACCTATAATTTAAAAAGAGTTTCACATTATGTTGGTGAAAAGATTAAAACATTTCTATCCATCCAAAAGATTTTTCAATATATGTAAGTATCCAGATGGATAGGACATACTAAGGAGATCGTGACGAATTGTAATCCAAGTGTTTTAACGTACTTTAGGAAGATTAATTGATCAATTACAGTGTGTTTATGGAAAATCAACACCAAATTTGTGGAAGGATGAAAAATGTATGTAGGAGGATGAGGACAACTCTGTACAATGTAAAGAATATAAGACAGTATTAATGGATTGCAAGCAGCCACTCTGAATAATGGAGGTTAATATTACACTATTCTGACTAATGGGGAATTTATCGCTTACATGTTAAATCTACTTTTATTTATACTCCTAAACTATACTCAAAGACAATGGGCATAACAGTAACAAGAAGAGACATAATATTAAATGTAAATTTTTAAGAGGGGGTAATAATGGCACTGTTTTCCACTAGCTGTCTTAGACCTTTTAAAATATGATGCTGAGGCACACAGGCACTGAATTACTGAACCAAATTTTTTGCTAGCCTATCCTCTCAGCCGATAACTTAGAGTCAGCCCAGGTGCTGCCTCCCAGCAATAAGGAAAGCGAGGACTGCAGGGAAGGCACTGGTTGCACCCTCGTTGTTATGTGGTGAGTTACTGGACCCTAGGGGTGGAAAAAACCTGCGTTTGCCTTGACTCAATTGGGGCATGTCTACTTCACCTCACTTTAGGAAAAGAAGCAGCAATCCACACCTACCCATCCACAATGAGGAACATACACACACGTACATGCACAAATATGTAATATATAGCTGTGCAGGCTATGGAATATATAATTGCCTGAATTAGATGCAAAGGAAATTATTCCTACAGAAAGTTAGAATGACTAAGGTCAGAGCAGGCTTACAACATCGATACAGCTAGGTCGCTGAGCTCATGTGGGTATCTTTGCAAATGACTTCAGATTAGATATATGGTCTTACAATACATGACACACCCATAAAAGAATGTCTGAAAACTAATGTAATGTGATGTGATGGCCAAAGACTGGTCTTCAGAGGCAAAATATCCTGGAACAGGTTGGTTGTTTTTATGTTCATAAAAGAAAATACTGGAAAGTGGGGTCGTGGGCCTTAGAAGGGTATGGGGACCTCACTATCTATACGAAGCGTGTCTCCTAATTCTTCACCCAACCAAATTCTCAAACGGACTGAAGGAATTCAGTATCCCATGGCTGCACAGTGGAAGCTTAGATCCATTACCTGCACTCAATTTATGCCTAAGGTATATATATGAACTATAAACAGATATTGCAGCCCATTTTTAAGTGTAACTTCAATATCTGTTTTGCCTCCAGTGTCGAGTAAATTTCCTCTTGTTTACCTTAGTAAATCGCTCTCCTTGCTGTTCTAACTGATTAGGCATATTGCTGAATCACAGCGAGCAGAAAAGCAGCCTTTCTTCAAATATGCATAGCTTTACAATCCCTTAAAGCCAGCAAAAGCTGGCAGTGCAGTTCAAAATTGCATCCCCAGCCTTCACTGATCATTCCCATCCATGCATCTCTCTTGTCCCACTGTCCTAAGCGTGCACACTACCATGTGGTGAACTAGATTTGATAACCAATCTGTGTTAAAACTAGCTCACCCAAACAAAAATGCTTGAGAGACTACCAGCATGCCCAGCAGCGCTGGTTCTGCTGCTTACTATGCTACTGCACGGCACTCGCAGGCAGACAGACACTGACGACATCTCTGGTTTAGGAACATACGTGGAACAGTGTCACAGACACTCCCTAGCAGCCTCAGTTGTGTGCCAGGGCTTCACCCCCTTATTTCTCTACATGAAATACGTTATGGAAAGCATAGAGGGTATTACACTGAGACGAGCCATTTATCACCAGCATAACTCTACAATATCCCATCCCAAGTTCACTGGATCACAGGCTAGATGATATTCAATTAGCAACCAACATCTTAATCTTCTTAGCTCCTGACTTTTGCTGACAAATCATGCTAGTATTTGGCGGCATATCAGATGAGAGGACTACACAATTTTAATTGCGCTCCGGGCACATTAAAATGATAACTTCTACTTTTTTCTTCACTGACAATACAATATGTTTTTAGCAGCAGAAAAATGGACCAAAACCTCATTATTTCTGAACTATGAGTCCAACACCAAGTGAACACAGTAGTAATTTTGTTCTTAAAGCATTCTAAGTAAATTATAATTACTGAAGGTCTTAAAAAGAGTTAACTGGTTTTCTTGGCATTGCACATGAAGGTATCTCTAGCCTACCTTTATCGAAGTGCTGCAGTCAAACCGGAAAGATTTGGTTTGTCCATTTTCAAGATACACCTTCAGAACATTTGGCATGAAAAGAAGTGAATTGTCCTTAACTGTTTCCTGCCAAGCAAATTAGTGAATCAGATTACAACATGTAACAAGGGAAATCTAAATGTTGTTCTATAAAAAAGGACATAATTCCGATGGCAAGGTAACAACCCAAAAGGAGTGTGTTGGCTCAAACTGAAAGCAGAATTAGCGATGCCCTGCAAATGTCTAGCCATGCTCATTAGAGCTGCACTCTACAGGTCTCTTTCCTGGAAAAATATAACTGTTCACATACATTTTATGCGTGGCTTGGAGTATTTTCTTTCCCTCAATACTATCTCTCTGACAATAAATGCTACCTCTAAAGTTGAAATATTTTCAATAAAACAGAAAAATAGGTTACTGTTTCTCTGAATATAGTGAGCTATTTAGTGTCTTTAATCTACAAAAATGGGAACTGCAGATTCATTAGTAAGAATTACAATCAAGATGTTTTACATTCTCTTTATAGCTGGATATTAAATGCTAATATCTGTAATCATTTAAGAAGAATAACATATAATATTGCTACTTAATTGTGATGATTCATAACAAGGATAGTAAAATAAACAGGAAAAAAGAAGGGAAACAAAGCTTTTTTTTTTTTTTTAAAGCAGAAATTGCTTTTGACAAAATGCAGTATCAATTTATGTTTGGAAGAGAGTTGGGTAAAGACATCAGTGTGGAACAATGTCCTGTCAAATTATGAAAATGAGCTGGGAGTTCATGTTTAAGGAGGAGTTCAGTGCCTCTCAAAGGGAAGCTGACTTTGCCCAAGGGCCAGAAACAAGAAGTTCAAGCAGATAAAACAAATTTTAAAAAGGTCTGTAAGGTAATGTTAATCTGTTTTCTTGACATGCTACTTCTCTTGAGCTTAAGGGTTTTCCTACTACAAACTTGCTTTGAAAAAAAACCAAGCAAGCATTATCAAGACTATAAAGACAGACATATATGGCTATCACCACAAAATTCCCTAGCATTTTTGTTTTATTTTAAGGGACAAATTTTTCACAATATTGTGGGCTGGCCCAATGGACTTTAAAAACAGATCTTTGGAAAACTTCAGAAGCAGAAAAAACCCTTCCCTTTGCAAGTCTATCACCGCTGTTCCTACCACATAATTCCCTTACTTTCCAGCCTTGAAGCGTACCTTTGGATGAAATGCTCAGTCCTTCCTGAGGTTAAATAGTTGAATACTCACCGACACCTGGCCATTGATAATTACTTCTTCTGAGAAGCGCACTTTGACAGGATTGGACTTCAATCTTGCCTTTTTTGCAGCACTAATAAAAGCTGATTTAGGAGACTGGAAGGAAAAATGATGACAAGATATATCACATAATTTCAAGTTAAAAGCTATCTTTCCTTTTTCATTTATTCCCCCTGTTTCTCACACACTGAGAACTCCAAGTATACAGCAACAGCATAAGACAGTACATACATATAAGGAAGCACCGAGGCATACTGCACATACTGAAAGTTATCCCACTGTCAGACTGGAGCGATGAGAAAGACTCTGGGTGTACATGCAAATTCCTTGTAGTGCTTCCACAATGACTACTGTCAACAAAACTTGTTTGCATGAATGGATACCAACCAGTGACTGGCTGGTGATCCTTCCCTCAAACAGTGAATTGAAAATTTTTGCATAATCTATGATCCACCAGATAGAGATATACACACAACCTTTGCCAAAAAAGTGTCTGAGAGCTCCTCAAGTGCAGTGGCAGCTCACCATATTAGTGCACTTCAAAACACAGGTTAGAACCTGCAAAAGACACCTGCAGGCTAGCAGGCTTCCTCTGAACATATCCCCTACATGTTTGTGCAAGGCTTGCCTTCAATAGATCAGATATTTTGTAGGACTTCATGGATTAGAAGTCTAGAAAGATTCCTAATTTTCTTCTGGGACCTAATTGACTTTTACCTAATACGTTATTCAATGGATTCACCTATGGTCAAGTGTTTAGCCCTTGGGAAAAAATTCTCTCTCCATTTGAGGAGGTTGACTAACAACCCATTTTTAGTAACAAATTAAATATTCACAGTCAATGGGATTTCCATTTTCAGCAGCAGAAGCGAGGTCATTTTATTCACAGATCAGTTACAAGCACAGTGCTTCTGGCATGGCCCAACTCCGTAGCCATGATAATGGACAACAGAAGAAATTCTGGCTTTGACTGAAAGTCACTGGGCTCCTCCAGGCCAGGTTTTGGTCCATTTGTTTCAGTAAAATGTGAATTAAGATTTTCAGAATCTTATTGTATCTCCTGAGAAGTGGCCTTATGAGTTTTGGATACTCATGTTGGTTTGCCTGTGAGAAATTAGTGCAGGCATCAGTGATGATGATCCTGGAATAATTTCCTATTATCAATGATGTGGCATGACAACAATCCTTGTAAACACAGCAAGTCTTGTCACCATCACTCAAATTTTGACTCAACAAACAATCTGCAGGAGTGACGGAGTAATCCAAGGCTATGTGCTCTTGTCGTCTCTGATCTCTGCTGAGACTGCTTAAAACGTTACTCTCTTCTGATGCAGAATCCTTGTTTCTAATAACTAGCAGGAAGAAGTCTTTAGCTCATTTCTGTATGCCACTGATTTATTATCACATCGAAAACATGGTTAACTATTACCATAGGCTCAGTATCAACCAGTGAACAAGGAATGAAAGATGCCACATTCTCTCAGGAAATATCAGAGCCACCCGATAATTCCTGGAGCACAAAATATAATGAAGAAATAACAATGAATGCTTCTTCACTTTGACAGTTCATTCTCTCTTACCTCTTCTCTAGCAGCTATGACCATACGTCTTTTTAATCAGTAACAGTAAATGACTGAAAATTCAACCCCGTGATCAAACCAAGCTCAGCTTCCAAAGCCAGTGCTGAAAAATGCAGAAGGTCCCCCAGAAGATTTGAAACAACAACCAAAAAGAAAGAAAGAAAGTTAAAATAAAATTTTAAAAAGTTATTGTCTCAGGGCGGGGGACCCAAAACAGTTCTTCAGCAAGAAGGGACAACATGGAAAGGCTGAAGAAGTGTGCTTACATATTGTACTCTAGATATGAGTTCCTAGAAAGACACAATATACAATAATACTGTGATTAATATAATAATTCTACACACGCCTTTCCTAATTTCCCTCCTCTCCACACAGTCCCTTTCTGCAGTGTGTATGGGGGATAGTCTTTATGGCCACCAAGTAATGGACTGCAACTTGTCCTTTCCCGCTGCCACGGGGCAGCACAGCTGTAGGACTAGGCTACTGGCTCTCCCTTGTAAGGGCAAGGGGAGAAGAGCGGCTTTCGCTTGCTCTTCTTGTTGAAAGAGGCTTTTTACAGCTGTTTGCTCTTATTGCAGATGAGTCACCAGTCTGGCCTCTCTTTGCAGGCAGATTGCCAAATTTTCTTCCGGATTCTGGCAAGGTTATTCCCATACAGCGAATCCGGCAAACCGCTCCGTGGCTCTGTCACTCTCTACAACCTCTCCACAACCTCTTTCTTTTCCTCTCTGCAACTTCAAGTCACTTGCAGGGGACATAAACACTTAAATTATGTTACTGCAAAAATGTGATCGGGGAGTCCAACACAACTGAAAGGTTTGAACATATGCGAGTTCCCCAGAACTCTTCCAGGATGTGGGGTTTAATGTATATTATTGCACAGCCAGGGGATCACAGTTTGTCATATAACATGCGTCTTCCCTTCCTTCTCACTTGTGCTGTGGCAACGTGGTCAGGACTCTGGCCCCTTGCCAGACACCCTGGGTGAGCCTGGAAGCAGGTTGCTGTATAAAAAAGCCTCAAACTATAAACCAGGAGTGTAAGAAAAACTAGAACTGCTGTGCCAGGTATTTGTGGGGACGTTCTCTACTGGTTAAAGGTTTGAGTAATAGCACAGCTTTTGCATTTAATTGCACAATCTCATTGTTTCTACCTCTGCATTAACTTGGCACTTGACATTTTCTCTTTGAGAAAGGAACTGTTTCTAAAGAGTGCGGCAAAACCCTGGAAAACAGTTGGGTTTGACTGTCGAAACTTGCTTGTCTAACAAAGCATCAGCAAGATGATGTGCTGCTCTATTCTATTTTAATGTCTTCAGGTTTGTAGGAGAAGAATGCTATCAAATAACGATTCTCAGAGCGCCTGGTTCATTTGTTTCTGATGCTCCATCTTTCAGCCAAATGGAAGCCATTATCCTCAGTTAATGACCTTAAGCAGGAGGTGTTTACACTAATACAGACCATTTATCACTGCAAGTAAAGTATTTGCATTGTCACAGATAAAAACAGCTTAATTAGAGTGACTTTTGCAAATGAGGGGACACATTTTAACACGGAGTGAAAATACTTCAAAACCCCACAAACTTTACACTGTGTGACCTAAGCACTGTTCCCTGTTAAAGCTCAAATTTATCAGGATTTTAAATATTTTTTACTTATTTACATAGAATTCAGTAAAAATTCAGCTGATCATTTCAACATTACCTGGAGAAACTGCTAACAAGAGAGATGAAGCATTGCACAGAGATTTGCTTGGAGGAAATGATAGTGAAGACTGAGACTCTCCTTTGAACCCTACTTACTAGGGACTGCAATCAATGGGCATCCCGTCAGCAGGGTCAAAACATGAGAGATTGCTATAACAAGAGGAGGCTTTCTGGAAAATGTTATTTTCTCATTTTCTGGACTTTTCAAAAGTAGATCCTATTTTTGTCAGCAGCATTATAACAGGTCTTTTTTGGATAGATATTAGAAACAATATCCTTCATTTTGAGGGAAACAGGTTTTCAATGAAAATAAAAATGTCTAGTACTTTGTCTGATTTTGCAGGTAAACTATAATTTGGGGGAGATTCCAAGGGAAATAGTGTTTATTTGCTGCAAAAGCCCCTTTGAGTGTTCTTGCTGGTAGAGGTGCTGCAACAAAACCTTTACTCATGCTCAAGAAAAAGAAGGATTTAGCATTTAGAAGAGCATAGTATAGTACTAAGCTACCATAAAGAAATGAAACAGGACAGCAGTACGGGATAGTCACAAGGTGAAAAGAAAACCTGCTCTGTGACAATACAAAGTGTCAAAATCAGAAGAAACACCATAGTTTTAAATAGCTACAGATTGCATATATGTAATCAATTTTAAGCTTGTTACTTAAAATTAGTCATTAGTTTAATATGAAATATTATGTTTGTTAGGAAATAAGAAAAAATTGCATGACCGCAAAAATGTGTTGACTTTTTGGTCCATCCCTAAAGACAAAATATGAGACAAAATTTAGCAAGCAAATAAAATGTGAATAAGTGGAAGAATTGAATTTATTAAGTGGAACAGTACATAATGCCCAAAGGCAAACTAAATACTGCCATTCATAGCTGTGAGCAAGGCTGAAACAACTACACTGGCTCACGAGAGCATTGTAGAAGAGCAGGCAGGGACATGGGAGCAATAACGTGGAGAAGTTTTACCATGCAGTAATTTGTTATAACCACAGGGCACTGACAGATCATCATCAGGAATATTTCTTTGTTAAACACTTGGCACAAATTTAATTGCTGAAACAGTGGTCAGATTTGGGTTCTCTCTTAAAAGTTGGTGATCTATCATCATAGACAATTATATTTTACTATTTGCATTATTTATATTTTACTGTTTTTAGATGGTAATCACAATCTGATCCTCAGTCCCATACCTGTATAACATGTACCTGTAAGGTGCGAAGTAGCCAAACTGCACTGTAATGCAGCCATTGAGAAAATCCAATCCATTCCATCCACAGTAAACAACAGCCTAGTTTACTGTGATTGTCCCAAAAACCATGAGTGAAACCACAGCTCAGCTTCAGACTTTGTGGAACATGCAGATATTGCAGCTCATCTCGTGACTAGATGGGCCTGGGCCACCTATATCTGCATTTATTAAATGTGGAGGTCCTCCATAAAATCCCCTCCACTGGCTTTTGGGATTCTGCCTCTCCAAAGTTCAGCCCTTTACATTCGTGGATTACTCCTTTACATTCATGGATTAGCTCTCATACACAGGTGACTGCTCTTAATCAAGTGCAGAAAAGTACAAAAAAAGTCAGCCATGCCATACTGCTTTCAGCCCTACAACTCTGCAAGGATGAAGACCTTTGGGAATGAAAGAAACCCTCACCCCATACAAACTCTGGCTAAAATGAACAAACGAACGACTGTATGAATGAAAATGCACCTGAGATGGGAGAAAGGGCTAATGAAGAGGGAAAAGAGACCTGATGGCAACTGGTGTGTGTGTGTGTGGGGGTGTGTGTGTGTGAGACTACAAGGAGAAAATAGTGGACAGGGTGAAGGGGCTCTTTTCCACTTTGCTGAAACAATTGACAAATAAGTTCACGCTGAATTTTCTCACAGTCTTCATCACTGAAAAGACCATGTATTTTGTATAACTACACTCCAGAAAAATCCTTATAACCTAAGAGGAGGTCTCCAGGAAGAAAGGTCAGGAGCAGCAGTGCTCACTGGGATTTACACCACACACAGATGGAAGAAGAAAGGCTGCGCAGCACAGGTCTGACACGAGGGGAGGCTGCTTCAAACAGCAGAGAGCGGTTGGACAGTGGCTATGGACCAGCCAGCACTTCCAGGAGGCAATGCAGTGATGGGAAGTTTCATCATTAACCACACCATGATCCTCTCCTGATTAAAGCTATGTATGGAACTGACCATACCAAAAATCTGATGTGGAAGTTACACAGTGGAAAAGGTCTTCAGGATGACTGTAAATATGTACACATTCAAAGAAAAAAAGCCATCATCTCTATACCAACTTCACAACTTCAAGCAGTCAAAAATCACCTTGTTCAAAATGCTCACGTTTGACTTCCAAATGATTTCTAAAACTACACCTTTGCAGCCTTTTTCACTTTAGATCTTGAAGTCTTTGTGACAAACCTGTTTCTTTATAATACCTTTCTTTACAACCACAAGTCTAGATATAGTAGTGGCTGCTGTTACACGACTCCAGAAGGCAAAGCAGCATGAAAAATACTGAGACTCTCAATAAGATTGTTGCCACAATCATTCCAATCCATAAATAAGTGTTATTTATCATAGTTTTTCTGCAAACATTGTGTCTCAGACATATAACCGTGTTATAACAAGAAGCGTCTCTTCCAAACCAGAAAAAGATCTTATCCTTTTCCCGTTGCAGAACTGTGCAGCAAAATTGCCATAGATCTCAGCTGGGCCTGGACTACATCCAAGGAGCTTAAGAGATTAATCATGAAAGCAACCTATCAAACGATCTCTGCACATAAAATCTGAACAGATATCAAAACAGGCAAGTTATTTGATTTGAGTAATGCTTAAAATTTAATAAGGCAACAATCAGAACGACAGTCCATTTACAGAATAAATGGTCAGAAATGATAATCAAATGCCATACTTCCAGAAATCAAAACTTTAAACTGCTTCAACTGCTTTAGCTGTTCAGCGACCTCCTGATGAGCAGTGGTGATATGAACCTAGCAGAGATTTGTGGATTGATGGAAAGAAAAAGATAGTCTAATGCTTTGGTTTGGTCATAATTAAAATGAAATTTTAATGAGTTTAAGCATTAAACAAAACTGAATGCACTTGAGCAAAAATGATCTGCAAAAGCTTTCAAAAAGTACTAAGTGAACTACAGAGTATTATAAATCTAGATTATGTCTACTTTCACCTGCAATCATTAAGGATGGTTACTTGAAAGCATGAAAACAAAATAAAATACACTCTAAATAGCACAAATAAAAACAATTAAGAAACAGCACTCCTGTAATCCATCCTGACAGATATTTTTCGTGCAATGTTAGAAAGAAAAAGGTTCACCATCAAGAAGAGAGATCGATGAAATGTTTGCAAAGATGTATTTCTGCCAAGAATGGGGAAGAAGTTCAGTCTTTATTTAAAAGCTCTTACTTTTCCTTTGTCTGGTTTCTACTTCATCTTTCCAGTTTTACTGGCAAAATAGTAAAAGGAAAAATGGAGGAGGCAAAATTAAAGGGGAAACCACATGTGCATCATAATTTTTGAAGACATAAATATTGTTTCCAAACTGTAAGACAAAATGTATTTACCACAGGACTCCCTCCACAGAAGACCAGGACAGGTACGCAGCCAGAGTGCAGCAACACCCACGATGGCAGAGCTGAAAGGGATGTCTCCTAACAGGCTCAGGCACTACTGACAGTAACGTTGCAGCAGTATGAGGGACAGCATGGGCCAGATGTTCAAGGTGACTCAGGAGTCCCCAGGACACTTCAAAGCCCAGGGTTTGCATAAACTGCGGGACCCTGCATTACTTCAAGGCTCAAACCTGGCTGCACACACCAGCAGCATCACACCTGCTCCCCATCTGTACGCTCACCTTCATTTCCACTGCAGGAAAACTTGAAAGCGATAAGGGAAGGATGCTACGAATCAACAAGACCCTGGTCTGGACAGGTAGGGAGGTACAATAAGAGTGCACAAATCAGAGGAGATCTGCAGGGTGCCACAGTCCTGCGGTTGAGGCTCTCCCAACTAAGCTCATGCCACTGAAGCATCCTGACTTTGGGATAAAAATGGGTCAGTTAAAGCTAGCACTGAAACGCATACATCAGTCGTATCTTCTGACTGCTCTGTGGACATTCTTGGGGAGATAATCTTCATGCCTATGTGAGATAAAACATCCACCACTCCCAAAAACATGTGTGCTTTGTCTGCCGAGGTAGAGCTGGGGGACTCTGACAGACATGCCAGAGTGGGGCAACACAAATACATGTATAAGATGGGCACATCCACCCAAACGGCTGACAGGACAGAAAGTGTTTCAGTGCCACTCCTAGCTCAGTGACATCTAGAGGTAGTTCAGTTATTGATTAGCCTTTGGTGCTACATAATGAGAGGAGCAGATTCTGCCTTGTCAGGCCTCAAACAGGGTTTGGACCCAAAGAGCTGGGTAGGTACCGGGTCATGACTTTCCTTTTTCTCCAGGTCAAAGGCTGGAGGAGGACCGTACCTGTGCTGTAAGGTCTCCCATTTAACATGGAGTGCGCAATTTGTTTGGGTTTCAGTTTCCCTTACATTCAGTACATACGTGCTCTCATACCAGCAGCAAAGTGGTAACAGGCCACACCACCTCACAGACATCTAGTACTACACTCTACTGTCCACTTTTAAGTGCTACGCATACCTGCACTAAAGCACATGCCCTTTCTTCACCTGACATTTAAAGAATGAAGCCAGACAATGGATGAAATAAGGAAACCTGCATAAAAAAGGCAAGTAGGTGAGGATTTCTTTTCCCCCATTTTATATATATTCCCTGTGATCAAAACCACGGGCTGTAATCCAGCAAGCTTTAAAGGCAGTTAGGTTTCTTTAGTCAGATCGTGCCTGTGTTTTCGTTAAAGAAGGCTGATGTTGACCAGATCCCTGCTCACCTTCCTGCCACTGGTCTTACTGCCGCCCAGCAGCCCCTGCCCGCTTTTGCTGGGCAATGCCTGCTTTTCCCTCATGATTTCGCTGCTGTGCAGACTGGCTTCTAGAAAGGGTACAGGGCCAGCACGACTACACGGCCACCTCTAAACTAGCCAGGAAGGCTAGAGAGCAGTATAAAGCCACACAGCACTGACCAAGTTGCATTTGCAAGATGTGTATTTTGGCAGCTTCATCAGATAAACCTGTTTTCACACTTATGTGTCAAATCCATCTCATCTCTTATTCTTGGGTGAAAAGTATGCAATTATCTATCCCTTGTTAATCAAAACTGTTGTGTATCAGGCTAGCCAACAGGAAGGTAAATGGACGGTTGAATTTGAAATCACTCGTGATGCACGGGCTGAGGCCCCTCAGCAGCCTGCAAGGCATGAGTGGCTGTGCACAGAAGCATGGGAAGAGATGTGCCTCCTCCCCTGGCTTGGCTTCTCTCTGTTTTCATCTGTCCCTCTTCAGGGATGGGTTTGAGCAGACAGGTCATGAACCCACTCCCAAAACTGCTAAGCTCTGAGGTGGGCTGCAGTTTCCCCCCGTCCCTTCAAGCCAGCCTCACGCAGTCGCCTTGCTGTCTCTTCCTGCCCGTCACCTCCACACACTCTGCGCTGGAGATGCAGAGCCCTCTCTTGCATAAGGGACAGCTGGTTTGATACGGCAGCGTAACTCTGTGCGACCGAGGCAGAATTAAGAAAAACCCAGGAGCTGCAACAGATCTGAAACTGAAGCAGAACTCAATGTCCTGCTCCACCCATCTCCTGGAACGAGTTTGAAGATATTGTTATTATTTAACTTGCTAATGCAGTCTTTGAGTCCAGTACGCAGTAATGCAGTCTTAAACATCACCTTTAAGAGACACAGCCCTTATCTCACTTCTTTCTTTTTATTGTACAGATAAGGTAAAGGCATAGACAGAATATAGGCAGAAAAAAAACCTGCTATGTTGCTAGGAAACTAATTCAGAAAACACCGCAGATACTTACAGGGTAAGGTTGAACAACAGTAAGGAGGATTGATTCTTTGCAGCTTCTATAAAAAGAAAAAAAAAGTAAAATCAAGTAAAGATTCATACTTTTATACACTACAGATAACCAGCTTTTCTTTTTAATAGAGAAAATTGCAGTAATACGGCAAAATGTTAAAATCACATAGCAAAGAATTGCAGAGATGAGTAATATGCCAAAATAACAATGGATATTAAAAAATGTTTTTTCCAATCTAACAAACTGAATTGACTTAACTTTACAGTTTATACTATCAAATATTTGCTTCATCAGAGACACCTGCATACTGCAATAATTGTTTTTTCCAGCAAGAATGCAATAACATTTGATTAATCCTATCAGTTCAGCATCTATAGACTACACATTTCTTTTGCCTACTTTACAAATGTAATGCACTTTTTATACCATCTAGCTCTTGTACACTTAATGCCAAATTTATCTGAAGACAGCAGTGGTTTCAAAACAAAATGAGGACAATATTTAACCCCCATTTCTTCTCTAGCTCACCTTTTTAAATGGGTGGAAAAAGATTAATATTTGGTGAATACCCCAGTTAGAATTTTTAGCTTTTTACAAAATTGCTAAAGAAAGGTTCTTCTTTAAAATGAAACAGCTCTTCTTTAGGATGAAACTAGTAAATGGAGAACATGTAAGGAGCTCTAAAAAAACCCCAACGGATTTACAGGATAAAGAGTGGAAATTATTAGGAATCTTGATATGATCAAGTGGTCTAGACAAAGGACAACTGCATATTTTGACTATTGGTGGTCAGCTGGGGGTGGTGGATAACTGGGGAAAAGTAAGGGTAAAGCGGAAGAAGAAGGAAGAGAAGCCAATCACAGTGAATATCTATTGTATTACACTGTTGGTTTGATGGCTGCTAAGGGTAGTATTAGCTAAGAAAAGGTCAGTTGCCATTTTGTTGAGATGGAGTTGATTTTCTGTTGATTTTACTACTTTCAAACACAACTAATTGTTTATTTATGTGATTTATTTCCTGGCTAACTGAAATGCAACGGATTTGGCATACCTGACCTGTTCAGCAGAACTAACTAAAATAAATCAAACTCTATTGGTCTTATACAGTGTCACCCTATATGCATATTGACACCGCTGATACGCAACTTAAAAAGCCAAAAAGCAAAGAAAATAGAGGAGAGACTGAAGACCCGTCTGGAAAGTCAGGCTATACTTGATGAAGCCAACATGTCTCTGAAGGCCAACTGGGATAGCAAATTCTACTTCTGTCAAAGCCAGCAGTCATGCAAGGGGCAAGGTCTGACCAAATACCTCCTAACAAAAGAAAAATTTGTTGAGCTTCAATTTTTAGTCCTCTTGTTAGATATTTCTATCATTACACTAAAAGAGTATAGGTAGACTTTTCAAAAGGAGGGATTGAAGGCTTTGGTCACTTGTCTGTTCTGCTTGGAACAGAAATGAAATTAAGTTAGTTAAAAAAAAAAAAATTGAGGAGCTACATGTGGTGAAAATTAAATATTCTGCCACAAACCAGTATAATTTTATCCCATTTAGATATAATTATAACTACTTTAAGGAATTTCCCACAACTATTTTTCATTTCAATAAAACGTGTTCCAAAGTTAAACTCCTGAAATTATTTAGTCATGAAACAGCCTTTATTTACAGTGTTTATATTTCTGAACATTTACAGTTCATTTTTAAGGTCTGTAAGCTGTAGGTTTGGAAATCTCCACAATTATTCTTTATTATTCTCCATTGTTATTCTTGAAGAGTTTATAGCTTATAGTTTTAGAAAAAACCAATCTCCATTCTGTTTTGGCTAACAACAGATTCCCTCTACTTTTTTTCTGTTCTATGTACCACATTTTTGGGAATCTGAAAATGCATGATAAGAAATGCAATTTATTTCAAGAATCTCAAGTCACATCTATACTATCCACATCTATCCAATTTGTCACTGCTTTATTAATCTAGGCATACAAGTAGACAGAAAAGCCCACAGAGTTGTTAGCTATGGGATAAACTGCAGCCCTGGGATAACTACTCTATGCCCAACTGACCTCTTCAACTACTTTCAACCCACTAATTTATGTTTCTCATGAAACTTAAGATAATAACCACCCCTGCCTCCTGCAGTCCAGCTACCTTAGAGAGTGGTCTTTAAAAAAGAAAACCAGCTTTTCCTGAAAATGGTTTTCAGCTCTTCATTATTCTTGGATTAAACCTGTCCAAGTGCCAGTGTAGGTGAGATTCATCTTAGACTAACAAGAGCTTTTCTAAACCAAAAGGTCATCAGTGCTAAGATTTATTTTGGGGACAAGATGTCCTTACAGGATAATCGCTTGCATTGGAAGGATGCTAGACCTTGGACCATTCATTCAACATTTGAAGCTATAATAAGGCCATTTGGAGTATCTGGACCCAAGCATGTTACACATATACAAAGCAGGTGTCAAGCACCACATACAGTCCCCTCATCATTAGAGAAAACATCTTCTGTAAAACACATGCCACATACAAAACACAGCACAGTTACAAGAGAAATAAATATTTAATCAGTCACAACTCCACCACTCATTTTAAAATTTCAACTCATGATGACAAAACTCCATACCACAGCACATCACTTTCTACTTCCAATATTGTTAGCAAATCCTATATATCTAAATGATAACCTCTGCACAGCACTGGAGACTGTCAATTGTACCATGTACTGTATATATCACAGTAATGGAAAAACAATGGAATCACTGACCGTGTACTGTGATTGATAAGTTTTATAGCTTAAATGTATGCGTACATATGTATGTCCATGTGTCACAGCAGAACATACAAACAGTTTAGATTACATAAACTAGGTATGTCACCGCACTTAAACATGAGCTACTTCTTTTAAACAGCTCCTGAAAGATAGTGGCAAAGGCTAAAAAACCCAATTGCAGTCTTGCTTTCCCTGTGAAATGTCTTCCCTCCTTTAATAATGTGACTAAAGTAAAAAAAAAAAAAAAAAAAGAGTATATATTACAGATTTTTTTATCACCTTTCATACTCACTTAATGACAATCTAATTATTTCTCTTTCAAATCTACATACTCTTTTAAGGCCACTCAAGACCAAACATGTGCAACTCCAAGCTTGGGCAACAGCTGCAGACTTTTTGGGTGCTCTGCCATCTGAGGTAACACCAACACCACAATAAAATATCATCAGGTTTCTTTCATTTCCTGACATCAGAATCAAGTGGTGAGGACAAGGCTACAATCTGAACACTGCAACGTGAATTTCAGTGATTCATCTCTTTGTCCTTCCCTGTGCCCCGCGCGATGATTATATTTGTCCGTTCTCCCTACTCCTTACAGCTACTTAGGCTGTAACAAGGCGAGAATATAGATGGTTTGAGAATCAAATTACAGCACATTATAAAGGTTAAAGTTGTATTACTAAGTATCACGCATCTCGGGCTACATGAGGCGTTAACATTCAGCTACAATGCCAGCCATTGACTTTGTCTGTGAACTTGTGGCTGGAAATGACTGTGCTCTTCTGCTTCCTTCTAGCTGGAAGAGAGGAAGGGATGTGGGGGCAGACAAGGGACGTGGGGGGACTCCCCGTATCCGAGATATATGGAATAAGTGGCTCTGTTCTTCGTATGAGTCCTACAGCAAATATAGCATATGAACAAAGAGAAAGGATGTATGTTACCTGTACTCGCTCTAACAAACCAAGAATGGAAAATTACTGTTTACGCTAATTTAAAAGCTTTTAGCAATTTTACATACTAGAGGAGTACTAGGTTTCTTTCCCAGTGAAGATGAACGAATTAGGAATTGACATATAATAAATAACATCATTTACAGGGAATGTAATTAAGAAAAATCTTTCTCTTAATCATAACTTATTTCTGTTTCACTCACACCAAACATCAAATTCTGAAAATCTTGTTTTGAAATGCTTTGTTCCCTGCTATTTCAGGATCCTCCGTTTCACTTCGGGTCTCACTATTGATGAGGAAGGTCTGAATTTCACAATTATGGAGTGTGATGCCATGATTTGCAGTATGTTTCACACTACATTTTGAAACAGAAATCAGTGAGTCAAAAACTAACTACAAGATGTAACAAGTTACCTCAAATGCCCTATTCAAGCTAAAGAAAGTAGAACTCATCTTCAAATTCTAGCATCTAGGTTAGAGAAAAATCATTCAGCATTTGAATGCCTTTCATTATTATGAAGATTAAGGCAGTAATAATGAACAAAGAGTTTGCAAAGTCACTCTATTGTAGTACATTTTGAATTATTTCAAAAGGATCATTTTGGTTTGAGCTGTATATACATTTTTACATAAAACCTGTTCTACAATAGTTATCTTCACCTAGGGAAACTTCAAATTTCACTTCTCCAGACTTTTATCATGAGCAACAGTTCCTGTGGAAAAGGACAGTTTGCCCAAGAGATCTGCCTAGATTTATTTCCAGGGCTGGAGACATCTTCTGGAGGGACCTCAGTGGGACAGCCTAGACCCATCTTAACCCAGTGTTGACCCATCCTTTGCTGTTATCACGCAGCCCCCCACAGTGTGCCTCCAGGACCTGCAATGATGCCAGCCTGCCTAAGTGGAACATTGATAAGCTAGTGAACAAACTCAATATTCATTGACACCCATGAAATAATGCAGAGGGTTGGGGGATAGAGGCTTTAGGGCTATTAAGCCTTTCCCCAAGGCTATTTTTGTCACAGGAGAAGCAGCGCTGTGCAAACATGAACACACAAGCTAAAAGCCCACACAGTCCAGCTTCTTTCTGCACTGGAGAACTCCTCCAGCAAGAGCCATGGTGTGTGGGGCTCTTCCCCCTTTCCAGAGGCAACACTACAGCACACAAACTACAGGCAACATTTCCATGACTCAGTAGCTTCTAACTGAGAAGTACAATAGATTAAACTCGGCTGGAAGCCATGCTACTATGGGCAGATCGTTTCTGGCCACTTGATTACATCCACCCATAAATGAACGTTGTTTTAGCAGCAGGTGAAGAATCTGACCTC